CGCAACCCGCCTCGAGCCGCAAGGCCGCGATGGGGCTCGTAAACGCCATTGACAAAATTTTTACAATAAACTTAGTACTAAATTAAATTTACTAATATTAATATTATGTCTTTTGATTGAATAATGAAGTTGAATTCAGTAAATGCCACTTTGAAAAATTATTTTATTTAGTTTATTGTCTATCAATATTGCACTATGTCAAACTGCGGAAAATAAAGAGCAAGCCATCTTGCATAATAATATTAACGGTGTCAAGAAAATTGCGATGGGGATAATTTGGTAATTTAAAAGTGATGGTAAGTAAACATTACGTAGCGTAAGCCTCATGAAAATATGACATAGATTGCATATGTCCGATTGTAAAAGATGATTACAGAAAGCATATAAATAAACTGTTAGAGGAGAATCTTGATGATACTATCGCTTATACTTCCAAGATGATAAGGCACCTGTACATAGAACGAAAGGCTAATTAAACGTTTATGGAATATAACACAAACTCCATCCAAAAAATTATGCAAGGTGAGTAGTTAGAAATTTTTGCGTAAAGTTAGAAATACCAACAAAATAAAAACTCATCGAGTTGATTCAAATGCTATGGATTTTATCAATGTAGCTGTCGCTAAAACTCGATTCAAAAATTTTGTGACAGATTACCTCACTGTAATTTAAGTCATGTTACGTTAACATGGGCGTTATATCTCGCGGCAAACAATTATATTGATTATCCGGCACGGCGAGGCCTATACGCTTAGATTAAGGCTACGCCCGCTTTTATTATTGACTTCTGAACATGTCAATAGTAGAGAGTATTAATATGTAACTTTGATACAATGTCACATGAATGTTAAGGTGTTTGTCATCTGGTGATTGAAAGCAGAATTGCTGAAAAAGTCGATTGTTTTGACGGTTTACTTTTTAATACAACACACAAAAAATCGAAATTAGAAGTTGTGCAAATCTGTCTGGCGTCCTTAACGTGCTGCTGATTACGTGCCAAATTCCTCTCCTCAAACAGCCTTGACTCTTCTGTTTCGATCTGATCTTTCAGTTTTGTTAAATAATGCAACCACTCGAAGCTTATTTTGCAAACCTCCCAAATCTTACCTCTTCCACGTTCCAGGACTACTTTTCTGACTTCTCACTGGTCAAGAAACATAATCCCGAAGTCTATGACAGAGCAGTAGAGTTTTGGAAGAATGTAATCATAGAAACGAGTCGGAAAGGATTGTTAGGAGAGGATAGGTGCATTATCGAAGGTCCAGAAAGTTTGAGTGAAAAGTTGGAGTATTTGGAGACAGAGCCTACATTGGATTGTGTTTTCGTAAGTAATATCTAAGAGCGAATAGAGAGATTGGTTACAATGCGTTGATATTTTTAAATTGAACTTATTAAGCTGCTTTCTATCTGATCTTTCGTTTTCAGCAAGAATTATATAAATCTGGCCTTATTACACCTCTTCATTCCTTCTCAACCACTCTCACACGCATGTCATCTTCCTCATTTCTAACTTTCTCCCTAAACTCCCTTCTTTACGTCTTCATCTCACCCCTGCGTTCCACAATGTCTTTTTTCGCGCCAACGCCATCTTTTTCTGACTCCCTTTACGTCATGATGCCTACGCTAGAATCTCTCGCCCAGGCGGTCGATAAGCATTATCAGATAATTACGATTAATAAAGAAGTGTACAATGTCACTGAACGTCTGTTTACGTTGAAAGAATTCAAAGAAGAGTGCAAAGCAGTTGTTGGAGAGTTGTCCGACAAGGATTGGGAGGTTTTTTTACAGTATTTAGAAATTGGAAAAGAATGGATTATTACTACAATTATCGACGGAGTAAAGGTAAGTGTTATACGTCAAGATGAAAACATTAGAGATTGTTTTCAAAAGCGGTTAATGTATGAAAAGACTTGATGGAACGTTGAATTAACTCTGTTTTTTTTTTTCTTCGTAGATAATAAAGTTTTTACCCAAGGATAAAACGGCCGTAAGGGAAATTACATCAACCGACAGGGGAATAATATCGATGAAATCGACACGAACAACATTACTAGAACAGATCTCTGCGCTCGAGGAACAGATAAAAGAGTAAGCTATTTCTCATCAATCTTTGAGTATGGCAATTAATCTATTTATAACCATAGTTTTGATTTCAAATTCATGATTTTAGTGTTTACGGAATCCATTTTAATTTTTGTTTTATCTAATAGAGCGCAGCGCCAGGCTCAAAAATATATACACAGAAAACAACGTCTTCCGGCCCTTCATCGGCTGAAGCAGAAGAAAGATCTCACCGATTTACTTCACAAAAGACAAGAGTCACTTGATACGCTTGACGATATTCTCCTACGTATAGATAGCGCCGCTACTGATGCAGAGGTAATGTGTTATTTGTCATATGAAAGTTTTCAGTTATTGACGCGTATGTCACGCGTACCAGCCTTTGTACGCCACACTCATATATATATACCGCTTTTTCTCATCTTCAAATATTTACTTGCTCCTCAACCGACTCAGGTCCTCGAAGCTTATGATTTGGGACGCACTACATTGAGTAATATACACAAAGATGCTAACATTACACCTGAAACTGTCGACGAAAAACTCGATGCCTTGCGAGATATTCTTGCGGATCAGGAAGAATTTGATCAAGTCATCAAAGAGAGTGGAGAATTGAGTGGATTGAGGATCGACGAAGAAGAGTTGGAGGCTGAGTTGAGGAAGTTGGAGGAAAGAGACGAGGAATGGAATAGAGAGAAGGAAAAGAAAGAAAAGGAGCGAGTGAAAGCAAAGGAGAGGAAAGTGGAGAAAGTGAATGACATTGACGAAGATTTGGAACAGATCATCGAAGAACTTGATGCCTTGTCTGTACCTAGTCAACATCCTCGTGAACTGGAGGAGAGGATGACAAACAGTCGAAAGAATACCGAAAAATTAACAAGACTACCAGCTTTTTAATAGAATGACTTTGATCCTGTATTCTGTCTTGTAATAATATATTTCTTTCTTTTTTCGGTTTTCCAAAACCGTTGTTATCGTTTAACGATAGTCCTGTCATTATTACTATGAACTGATGTATATATATCCCGCTGCATAATGATCTGTTTGAAATAATATCAAAAATAGGAATCATGATCCGAAGAGTCAATTGAACTGTAGGTTGTTCTGGCAAAATGGATTTTTGTTCGAGGCTTAGTACATGGATGCACTTGGCATGTAGTGTTAAACTCTTTGACGAGAATTAATCCTGTCTCTGCACATCATTGGAGTAGAACGTTTACAAGAAACCATGGTGGCAGGAAAATCATTGGGAGAAAAGATGTCATTGCATAAGGAAAAAGACCTAATTGTCAATGAACAACCGTAGAGCTATCATCTAATTGGTGTCATCGAAAAGCCAAGTTATCCGAGATGTCAACACCTTAGATCAATCGCTTTATGGTGTCGTTGAACGCAACTAAATATCATCAGATTGCCAATTCGCAGTGTCTTTTATCACGATCTTATGACGCTATTGGTGACCGACAAGAAACAGCCGCAAAATGCTTCAAATACAAGACACGTATTTTCATATTTCAAACGGATTTTCCATATTCGCTAAAATGGTTGCGTTTGGATATGAATATTACGTTAATGAAGATATTAGTCATCGTCTTCTCGACAAATTGCCCAAGGTTGAAAGTTTGATTATTTCATTTGCAAAATCAGAAATCGATTGTGATCCGTTTTGGATCGCTGAATATAAGTGATTGAGACCCACATATTTAAAAAATATTGACTGATGTGGTTCGAAAGACAATAGAATTTATGTCAAAAGTATGCACACCTGTAATTTTTATTAACCCGTGGAGTCGAAGGTGTATCAAATTTGAACAGGGGCAAGGCTTGATGTTGGTGTCAACGTCACTTATATCAGGACATTAGAATTTAATGAATTTAGTAGAGTTTCAGAAGCTTGATGCCGATGGTCCTGATCCAAAGGAAGAATTATTTTAGGAACTAAAAGACATTAATACGAGGTCTCCTTTCTAAAGATAAAGTAATGGAACGTTAGTCCTCATTCCGTTGGAGTCCTCGCAGAATTTCTTCGGATATCGGTGTTAAATTCTACTGCTTTCGTCCGGGACCAGTAGTGTTTAAAGAGTTCTTTGCATGATATGAAGTTGATCACGATAAGACATATATATGTTCTAAAAGCCTGGGACATTTGTTACTTTAGTGAATCTCGTATATGTTTATTACTTGTTTAAAATGCGTAATGGAGAAAATTTTCGGCGATTTCCACGGCCCATCGTTAAAAATAAATTGTATGCACAAATATTAATTATTATTAAATGATATAAATTGTAACGTAGGTTAAGAAATTTTCTTAATTGGTACCTTCATTGGCGTGTGGAAAGATGGTCGCATCATCCCATTGCGTAAGGGCGTGGCGGGTACAGTAGATGTGATACTTGAATCTTTATTGCATCGGGATAAACTTTGAACGCAAAGCTCAGCGGAACGGGAAACAATGTCCTTTATAAATATGTAAAAATTAGTATATGATATACAATCTGGTAAATAAATATTCAATTCTGACCTTTATCTGCATTAGTTCTTCTATTGCTGTAGGAAGTACACTAAGATTATGAATATTTTGTGGAAGGAAAAACTTTCCCAAGAGTATCATTCGATATATTGCGTCAAACTTCAGGTCCATTACAAACACACTGCACTGAAAACCTAATTACAAAAGGAAAGGTAAATAAGGATATACATATTAAATATCACTAATACATACTTACCTTCAACAAGCATGCTACAAATAGTCAAATCTCTGGTTTTCGCACCATCTTCAATGCACTTATCAAGCATATCCTTCATTTCATTTCCAATTTTTACTAAATCACAATCCACAAAATTAACTTTCTTTGAAGAAATATATCTGGCGGATTTTATTTCGGAGACCAATAGATAGTATCTGTTGCCTTTAATTTGTGTGTAAGCAGAAAAGTCTGCTTTTCTTCCCTGGAGAATAGGATCAAATTTACGTTTTCTGTGGGTTGATGGATTCAAAACATCTGAGGACCTAAAAACAATTCATTTATATATCTAATTATTATTTTAATGTGTATAAAAATCCATTATTCTTATACAAACCATTCACAAATTAGATCGTCATTTACGAAAAAAGGTAAAATTATTGGTGCAAAGACTTCATGAACGAATGAATCTTCTCGCGCATCTGCTCTGTTCGTGTTACTTGGAAAATACTTAAAACTACAAAATAGTTAATAAACTTGCATAATACAACATATTCGGATTTCATAAACTTACATCGATTCAAAAACTTCTAAGACTAAATCGTTATCATTGTCTTTGACTTCCTTCTGCCATTTCCTAAGTAATGACTTGCGGCCTTGGAAGTTGTTTTTTGCTATCTGTTTAATTAATGTAAATAAGTCAAGCAAAAGAAAACCAACTGAATCATTCACAAATTCTTGCCTTGGACATCTCATGACATCGGAGAACATCTTTATCCGATAAATGACATGGAGTATTAGTATATTCGCTTCTGATATTTTCGAAGATCGCTCTAAGTGCTGCGGTGCCAATCATTTCCGAGATCCCAGTCGATAAATTCTCATCCAATAGGAATATATAATTAAGAGAACTATAATAGTTATTACAAAAAAGCGTAAGGAAAATATTAAAGAGATAAAACACTTACAGCATTTCAACAGCATTTTCAATTTTTCTCTCCGATGCTTTTTTGATTGACAAATTACGATATTCTAATAGTATATTTGAAACATCAATAGTGCCGACAGTCCACTGTATATATATGCAAGGCCATTAAATAAATATTAATGCTCAAAATTGAAATCAAAGAATTTAAACATTACCTTAATGGCGCATTCAATCAATGTAGACTCTTTTATACCGGGTCCACTAAGCCATTCGTACTGAAACTTAATTTTTTCTTTTTGTTCAAGTTCACTATCATCATTTGATTCCTCTGATTCAGTACGGTAGGATGAATCAGATGCATTATTTTCATCCGATCCTTATCTTCAGCCGGTACAAGAAATGGATTATTTAGACTGTCTCCTACTCCCGAGTGCTTACTCTGAGTTTCTGTATCAACTTCATCACAGTCATCGAATTTCAATCGTTTCGGAACAAAATGTTCATCGTGTTCATCATCATCCTCCTCCTCCTCTTCTTCTTCTTCCTCTTCTTCAGTAAGTTCCTCACTTTTCATACGATGACTTCCTGAAGCAAAATTATTATGTTCCCCAGTCTCGCTTTTGGTTGCACCAGCGATCTACGGTCAAAATATTTTGAGCCATGCTGTAACGTCCGAAAGCATACTCATAAATGACTTACTGTCTCCATCGTTATAGCAAAGTCTTGTTGAATTCGCAAGTTCGCATCATGATTGTTTCGACAGGCTAAAATCTAAAGCATAAATTCGAACATTAAATATAATAAACCCGTAGCTCTAAAATAAATGATAGTTAGACGTACCGCTTTCTTTTCCTTTAACCAGATTTCCCAGTCTCGTTGTATAGTCTCTACCTATTTAAGAGGATACATTAAAAATATTTCGTATAAATGTTGAAATTATCAAATACATACGTCACTATCCAGGGCTTTCAGTTTAGCAAGATTTGAGCCTTTGCTACGTTTCATAGCAATGACAAGACCCTTTTTATATTTCGCAATAGCTCGTCCACGTTGATTTGGATGAGTTAAGCGAAAAAAGGATATTGGAGTAGGTGACGGAGAATTTAAGAAAAAGTTTATTTCACTATTTTGTCGAGTCCAGCTGGAGGATTTTCTTCTTTCTTTTCTCATTATTGCTTGGGAAGGGGGAAAAAAAATAGAGAAACGTGAGTACTATTCCAAAACAAAGGTATCAAACAATTACTAAAAAGGGGCAGATCTCTAATGAAAGGTCGGCCACCATTCCCAGGGCGACTTGCCATAACCGGCTTCCGACAGATCTCAACTCTGCCGCAGACACCTTTCATCGGCAACAGCCCTACAATAATTCTGAAGTAATGAAATCTAGCCGGCCACCATTCCCAGGGCGACTCGCCATAACTGGCTTCCGGTAGGTCTCAACTCGGCCTTACCCGCAGACGCTTCCTTCACACAAAACAGAATTATCAATAATTGACGATAAAAACGAACAAAACTTACACGATAATAACAGAAACAACGTTTCGCGTGCCTATCGATTTACGTGTTGGATTTTTTAATTCGTAAATCACATGACCAAATTCGATGACCAATAATATTAATGAGTTTTTACTAGCCCTGTTCCAATTTCTGATTGGCGAATTTAAATCACATGATTGGAACGGATAAAAACGAAAAATTTGCAACATCCATTCACGGTTTTATTAAAAAGTGTGAAGAAATAAAAGATTGTGTTGCGAGGAAGGGTTCTAATGGCTTTCGGAAATATGTTTTTTTGTTGCAAAGAATAACACTTATTGGAGTGAAAAGAAAAGCAACGGAATAATATGTGGAATGGAGGGAATACGAAATTCGATTATTGGCTGATACAATTTTGCCGTCTATCGGAACGGGAATTAAATAGGACTGTGTGTCATTGAGCGAGAAGAGTTTTGTATATCGGAATAAACACAGAATTGCTGTTGTAATGAATAAAATATGAGACATACACTACCCGGACAAAAGTCTTGCACATCAAAAAATTTTAATTACACATAATAATAATAATTACATCTCAAATTTCAATAAATCCGCAAGCACTTCTAACTTTTATTGCTGTTAAAATGTATTCTTTAACGCGGTGAATTATTGGCCTTTACAAAAATAAGCAATCAGTACCAAAAAATGCTCAAGTTCATAGAACAACTGTCACTCGTACTATTGATAAGTATCTTAACGGAGTTGATCTTGCGACTCGTCCCCGATCTGGCCGTCCAAAATTATTGACTAACAGATTCTAAAGGCTATTGTTAAAGATAATAATAAAAAATTAGCTGAAGAAATTAAAAAAAAAATTGTTAAAAAAACTAATATTGAAGTTTTCACAAAAACTATTACACAAAATTTCTCGTATACCAGCTTGCAAACCTCTCTTGAAATGGTATAATGAAAGGCGAGATTGGACTGTTTGAAAATGGCAATCTGTCATATGGAGTGATGAAAGCAGATTCACAATATTAAGAATGATAGTCCAGGTCGTGTTTGGAGAACTCCTGGTACCAGATTTAATATTGAGAATTTGGTCCCAACAGTAAAATTTGGAGGTAGAGGATTAATAATGTGGGGGTGCTTTTCCGGTAAAGGATTGGGGACATTAGTAAAAGTAAATTAAAATGGTAAAATGACTACATACAACTACTTGAAAAGCATTTATTACCTTTGGTAAGGAAGAATTTAATTGCGGAGGCTATTAGTTTCAAAATAATAATGCTCCGGTCCATACTGCTGAAGATGATGTGTGGGGTGGCGTAGCCAGCCACGCCACCCACCCACGGTTAAGAAATGGATTTTAATGAACAAAATCAAAGTCTTGTCAGATTGGCCAAGCCAGTTTCCTGACTTGAATCCTATTGAGCATTTATGGTCGGAGCTAGAAAGAAAAATGAGAAGCAACGACAGGCAATAACAATTAAAGACAGCATGCAAGAAGAATGGGGCAAGATTTCACAACGTCAAGTAATGGCTTTGATAGAAAGTATGCAACGGAGAATAGAAGCTGTTATTGCAAGCAATGGGTGGCCAACAAAATACTAATTCTATATAGTTACTTCATTGGTTAAAGTATCATCTGTTAAAATTTGAGATGTAATTATAATGTGTAATTTTGCGTAATTAAAATTTTCTGATGTGCAAGACTTTTGTCCGGGTAGTGTACTTTAGGTGCTGAGTATACGACTTTGAAATAAAAATACACATAGGAATGAAAAAATTCTGTGACGCCGTCTTTTGGTTTTTGGTTACAGTTGTATCAAAGTAGTGAAACGCAAATCAAGGCTCGACAAAAGTGCTCAAGTAATTCTTTATCAAAAACTATAAGGAAACAATCTTTCTTTGATAGGTCACTTGATCAGTAGAGCTTTTGTAGGGTGGCAACTTTTATGTTCTTTACACATTTTCTATTTTCGTTTCTTTCATAAGTTGGCGTTAAAGTTCGTTTATTGTTTGCTTTTTCGTTCTTCGTGATAAATTTCATAAGTAATTTTTTCTTTATCTAGATATTCCCCGAGAATTTGGTGTCATTTATTTTAAAAACATATGGAGCACTTAATAGAAGTTTACTGCGTAAAATTTGTTATTAGCCAAATTCAGTTAACCTTCAGCCACATCAGCCTTTCATCTACGTCACATAATAATAATAGAATGTTCACTTTGTCTAGTTTTGTTGCAGCATGCTCCATATACACAGTGGCTCTCTTTATAGTGGACCTCCGTTACAGTGGATTTCAGTTATTGTGGAGAAACGTTGGAAACTTTTTTTCCTCTTAATTAAACTAGCTCTATATAGTGTATTTATATAGAAACTATGCAGATTTCGGTTAGTGGAGGAAATATGCTTGATTAATTA